AAAAAAAAAAAGAGCTCTGATAATGCCTTCTGTATAGTGTATGCCACGGGATATGTTGGTAATAAGGGCTGAGGGGTGATGGTAAAGGAATATAATCGGTCTCCTGTCTCAACAGGGGTGGCGGGATTTCCTGTTAGACTTTCAGTGTCCCCCGGCCCCATACGTTTCTCTTTTTCCTGTCTTTTTCCAAGAGTCAAGGATTTTCCATAAAATCAGCTGAATAATTCCAAGAGGCTTCCCTTCTTTCTCCTTCAAATCCTTCATGCCGATTTTAACCTCTCTCATGTGTATCAGTAACAGCTTCTTATTTATTTATGTAATGTCTGCAAAGCCCTGCTTAAAAAATAAACCAAGAATTAGCTGCCCAGGGGACTTGCTTTAGAAATTCTATCTTGAATATGCGATGTAGAGGGTTACAGCCGTTGGCCTTGTAGACAGATTGGGTGAAGGGCCTAAAGCCCTTTTTATGGACGGCCGAGGTAGAGAAAACAGCTTAGGTGTGAGGTGCTCTCAGGGCCAGATCCTGGTCAGTCTTTGGAAGAGGTCAGCTTTGGGTTTGTTTTGAGGAATCATGGTTGCCTACAGAGTAAGGATAGTGTTTCAACGTGGACAAGTGGCTGGATGGAGCAGAGTGATGCTGAGGGCGGAGTCATAGGGAATAGTTAGAGCAGACTCCCCAAAAACTAGCCCAGGAAGCATCCTGAGCGCCACAGAAGACAGGACGAAATTGTACCAGTCATGTAACCCCTTGTTACGGAAAAAGTAAATATCATAAACTGCTCATGGGCTAAGGGGTGTGATATTTACGGAAGAAGATTTTAAAATGTCTTCAGGCCCTTCATTTGGCCCAGCAATTTGACTCCTAGAAGTTGAACCAGAGTAAACAATGAGAGACGTGCGTGAAGAGTCGTGTGTGTGGGACGTTTCCCTGTCACGTGTGGGACGTTTCCCTGTCGTGTGTGGGACGTTTCCCTGTCAGGTAGGGGATGTTTCCCTGTCGTGTGTGGGACGTTTCCCTGTCACGAGTGGGACGTTTCCCTGTCACGAGTGGGACGTTTCCTGGTCGTGTGTGGGACGTTTCTCTGTCATGTATGGGACGTTTCGTTTCCCGGTCATGTATGGGACGTTTCCCTGTC